AATTTTTGAAATTACCTTCTTGGCAGACGGCGAATGACAGCATCATCAAGATCAAATGGCCTGTTTGTAGCACCAAGGATAAGAATCCTTTGGCTATCTTTCGACCTCAAGCCATCCCAAGCCGCCATAAACTCATTACGCATTCTTCTAGTTGCTTCATGCTCGAAAGATCCACCACGAGCACCTAGCAAACTGTCCACCTGCATTCAGAGGCATTTCATATAAAAAGAAATAGAAACAAAGCCAAATCAAGAGTCTCCTCATACAGAAGAAACAAAAAGTTCTTTTTTTTTTTAAATTCTTTTGTAAAGCCCCTCGATGACTTGTAACTCCTAACACAAGAAACAAGTGCTCCAATAAACATAAGACCAACCACAAAATTCTGTCATTCAACTATCTATACTCTTTGTAACTTGTAAGCCATTACTAGAATCAAATTTAAGCATAAAAAAGCATACAATATTTAAATAATATTCTTTTAAGTACGTATATGGAGGCAAAGACAATAAAGGGGGACCGGTCTCACCTCATCCACGAAAATAATTACAGGAGCTAGCTTGCTAGCAAATGAAAAGAGTGCTCTGGTAAGTTTTTCAGCATCCCCAAACCACTGCATGAAAGAGTGGAGGCAAAAAAAAAAAAAGTGTTAATGTTACAATTGAAATGGTAGAAGCCTCTAAGAAAAAAACAGAGAGGATTTTTATGCAGTGGAAATATGTATCAACCCCATTCATGCTTTCCTTTATCTGTTAACTTACTTTCCCAGAATTCATTTAGGATATTACCAAAATATTACAAAATTATGGATTTGAAATTCTCATAGCGACTTCTTAGGAGAAGAAACACCTTAGAAAATTTCCTTTCAACTGCAATCTTATCTATCTTCCTCTCTTTATATTTATCCATTACGTAAACTATTAAACACCACTACTATGCAGTTGTTGCTTATCTTCAAAATCATAAACCTCACGATCAACATTTTACCAAGGAACCAAACCACAAACGAGGATGCATTATTACCTAAATCAGAACACATGCCAGGAAAATTTCACTTTTCAAAACCACTTGCACTTTCCATTCCATTTAAGTAAACTATCTGACCGGTGTATAAAACTCTACATTGTCCACACTCCACAATAATGTCAATTTTTAGTTTTCGGTAGTGAATCATATCAAGGCTAAGAAGGCTCCTCTCTAAACATCATTAGAGGTAATAAAACCTTAAAACGCGTGATTTGAGTTATGAGCTACCATCAGCTAATGCTTCCAGGCAAAGGTCACTCCAAATAAGAAAACGGTCTTAACAACTACTTGCCTTAGATGTGAGTGTTGAACCAGTAATGCTGATGAAGTTAGCCCCAGCTTCTGTTGCAAGCGCCTTGGCAAGAAGTGTCTTTCCAGTTCCAGGGGGACCAAAAAGCAATATCCCTTTGCAAGGCTGGCAAGACAAGAAACATGTGAACAATCTGCAGAAAAAATAAAACAGAACTGCACATGCAATGTACAGAACATTTGGTTACCCGCAGCAAATTTCCATGCGAGAATAGCTCGGGCCTCCGCATGGGGAGAATTACGAGTTCATTAAGCGCTTTCTTCACGTCTTCAAGGGCACCAACATCATCGAATTTCACACCAATCTCACCAGGAGGAACTACGGCTGATACGAAGTTGGTCTCATACTCATCCTTAGCAAGACTCTGCAAACGAGTAGTTTACATTTAGTACAGCGGATAACAATTAGAAAAAGAAAACATAATCGAGCTTTGATTCAGTGTTACATGGGGCTATTGTGAATATTTTTTGTATATGTGAATGGGGTATGGGAATTTTTTCAGCTTGTTGTGAGTATAAATTGAAACAATAAAATCTAAGGGGTATAACCATTAACCATAAACGATGAACAAAGTGTGTGCCTTGTAATAAAGAAGAAAACAAATAAATAACCTTTAGTTTTTGTGAAGGCTTCCTGGAAACTATTTCCTGCTCCTTTAGCCTCAAAATTGCAAGTTCAAGGCTGCACATGATGATTAGAGCAATTAGCTGAGAAGATAAAAGAAGATTCTCATAAAACAAATCCAGATATATTTACCTTCCACGGGGAAGCTGTAACCGATCCCCCTTAACAGAAGGAAGAAGACAGGAGGATAGGTAATGACTTTTGGCCCAGCCAACAACCTTCTCTGCTTCTATAATCAGTAAAACATGAAATTACAAGAAGATCATACACACAAAATATTCTGAAGTGTTCAATATGAGAATCTTTTCAATCAATTCGTGAAATAAATAATGATCTAAACAGTGGGGCTCAGATAAATGCAAGCACCCTAGAAAAGAAATTGTACTGCCCCATTATCGCCACAAGAAGCCGCTAATACATAGCTGCTGTATTGGGATATTAATGTTAAAAGAAATAAATAGTCATTTGATAGAATGTGTATTATGTGTTTCGGCATAATTTTCGTATTTACACAAGGTTGTTCAGATGAGGTCTTACTCTCTTTCGTCAATATAATACCATCAGTATTCAAATGCAACAAGTCCATGCATGACAAATCATGTTCCTCAAGAACCTGAAATGGAAAGATTTTCAGTCCTTTATAACAGAATGAGCTAGAGAGGGAGAGAGAGAAATACAACATGTACGTCTGTTCCTCGAGAAAATCAACGCACCAAACTCACTACAAACTGCTCCCTTGGCAGAAATGTATGAGAATTAATAAAAACAAACAAATACCAACATAAGCCAAAATTTGTAGAAGTACCTTATGAATTTCACTCAAGTTGCTTCGGGATATCACTATTCTCCTGTCTTCTTCAATTTGCTTATTAAATATCCTCAACTGATCTTCCTCCTGCAACCGAAGTAAGATTTCTGACTCACCACTAAATAAACATCGAGTGCTCTTCTTAATTTCCACTTGTGCATTTATATCTGATTACTACTTCTACACTACTTCAGGATGCTGAGCATTTCAGATGGCAAATGGGTTCAAGAATCAAGATCGATGGTCATCATGTTTAGGAAAAAAATCAAGCATCGGAAATATTCAGTTAATGAAAAGAGATGCCGGGCTTGTGGTAAATATGACCCAATTGATTGAAATTAGAGTAAAAGATTAACCATTAGAAGGATTGCTTTTCACAACTGTATTGCTTATATAACTTCAATGCACTTTACAAAGAAGTACCTCTAGTCTATCCAGTCAAAGATTCTTCATCAAAGCAAACAAACCCCAACATGAAATAAAAATTCCACAATATGATGTGAAAAAA